TTAGCAGCCAGGGCCTCAGCATTGTTATTAGTCTTACACTGGATGGGTAGGGAGAAAGCCATGATCAATTCACCTTATTCGTTTCTGGCTATTCCCCCTATCCCTGCTTTGCTTGTTTCTTTGAAATAGCTTCCATTTGTATTTACTTTGATCTTTCTTGGAGAAGGTTTCTGCCAGCTAGTTTGTCGCACTCTAAGGGTTGGTCTCCATCTTTCTATCATGTCGTAGAGCCTTGGCCATGACTCTGTTTTGCTAATTCCAGGGAATGCCATATATAGGGCTGCTTGAATAGTCTAGTGTATGTGCATATCCATGCTTCTCACTTGAAATTTATTCTGATCACCATAACTGCACGCATTCCAGCTTCTCCATATTTCCCAACAAACGGCCAATGGGACTGCCGAAGAGTGAATTCATGAATTTTGTTCATAGGCTTTACTTCCCACCGTTTTGTAAACATTCTCCTAATGCTCCAGTTATCATGTTTGATGCCCAGGGGAGCTCCAAAAGCTTGCCATAGTCTTTGAGCCGCTTCCCCTTCTATGAAGACATATTGCATTGAGTCTTCCTTAGGGTTGTTGCAACACCTGCATCTGGAAACAACATGGTTACCAAATTTAGAAATAACTTCGTCAAAGGGAAGCTTACCAAGATATAGTCTCCAAGACAAGAAGGAGATTTTGAAGGGAATGCAACTGAGCCACATGTGGTGAAGAGCTGGGATCTTGGGTTTTCTTCTCCTAATTGTATGCTAGGCACTTTTGTTGGAGTATTGGCCATCTGCCGTAGCTTCCCATAATGCATAGTCTTCTTGACTCTGATCTCCAATTTCTATAGCACTGATGTGTGAAGCAAACTGCGCGTTGAGAGTGTTGATGAGTTTGTTCATATTCCAGCTGCCCTCTTGAATGAATTCCCTCACAGTAGTATTTCTACTCTTTCTGCTATTTGGGGAAAAATTGGCTAGAGCCCCTTTCCCTGACTAGTTATCCCACCAGAAGCTGCTATTACCCTTGTTGATGTTCCAAATCATGTTTTCTTATACTTTGTCTCTTATTTGTGTCATATGTTTCCAAGCATGTGAGTTACCTGATGCCCGCTTTTTTTCTACAGGGTGAGATCTGATGCAATATTTTGCTTTAAGGTGGGTTGCCCATATAGTGTTCTGAGTTCTAAATCTCCACCACCTCTTCATGGCTAATGTATTACCAATATCCTCCATAGATCTTATGCCAATTCCACCTTCTTCTTTGGGTTGGCACAGGTTCCTCCAAGCACTCCAATGATACTTCTTTTTATCCGCTGAAGTGCCCCATAAGAACCTAGCCAAATACTTTTCTATCAAATTTAGGGTTCCCTTTGGAGGACTCATTGCAGAAAGAGTGTAAATTGGTAGAGATCGGAGGACACTTTTAATAAGGACAATTCTACCCCCACTAGTAAGAAGTCTGCCCTGCCACCCATTCAATCGCTTAGCCACTTTGGTCACCATCGGATCAAAATGAGAGAGTTTCTTCCTGCCCACATATAAGGAGCAACCTAAATAGTTAAAGGGAAAACTTTTTTCCATGAAGCCCGTGATTGTTCTCATCCTATTGATTCTATGTGCTCTCGTTTTCGGATTAGTGAGAAAGAAACTTTTGTCTCCATTAACCTTTTGCCCAGAGGCTCTCTCATAATTGCTTACTTGTTGCATGATCAATCTGATTGACTTGTTATTGCCTGCACTGAAGATCACAATATCATCTGCATAAGCCAAGTGGTTGATTGGTGGGCATCTTTGATTCATGTGAAAAGGGGTGAATTCTGGATCATGATGGAGATTATTCAATGATCTGGACAATACTTCTGCAGCTACGATAAATAAAGAAGGAGACAGAGGGTCGCCTTGCTTCAACCCTTGAGATTATGTAAAAAACCCCTTCTCGAGCCATTAATAACAATAGAATACCATGCTTCTGACACCAACCTCAAGATGATATCAATCCAAGATTCCGCAAATCCAGACCTTCTCATTACTGAAGCTAAAAAGACCCAAGATAATCTGTCGTAAGCCTTGGCCAAATCTAGCTTCATAACTATATTACCACCTTTGTTATCTTTGCTAATGCCTTGAATGATATCTTGAGCTAGCATCACATTCTCTGTGATTAGCCTACCTTTCACGAAGCCACTTTGATTGTCTGATATTAGCTTTGGAAGAATTGTACTAAGTCTGCTAGCCAGGATCTTGGAGATGATTTTAGTACTAAAATTGGTTAGGCTAATGGGTCTTAGTTCTGAGATGTTGGTAGGGGACTCAACCTTTAGAATTAGGACAATGCAAGAGTGGGAGTAGAATTTTGTAAGATTGCGACTATTAAAGAGTTTGGACAAAAGTAGCAATATCCTCCCTGATGGTTTCCCAACAGGTCTGGAAAAAGACCCCATTAAAACCATCTGGACCAGCTGCACTGTGTTGACTAAGGTTAAAAACAGCCACCCCAATCTCTTCAATGTCTGGAATAGCTGTCAGATATTCATTCTCTTCAGTTGAGATGATGTTAGGAATGCAGTTCAGGGTTGAGTTACTCATTGTGGGGCCTTGGAGATTGAAAGGTTTTTTGAAATGGTTCACGGCTGCCATTGCAATCTTGTCTTCCCCTTGCACCCATCTGTTTCTATGGTTTTTGATCCTATGAATGTGAAGTCTTCTTCTCCTTTCTCTGAGGACACTGTGAAAATAGTTGCTATTGTAGTCCCCCTCTTGAAACCATTTAACCTTAGCTTTTTGCCTTTGAATATTCTCCTGGATACCAAGCCATTTAACATATTCTGCGTGAGCTTTGTTTAGCTCTTCTCTGCTCTCCTCCGAGTTCTGGTGAAAATCCAGCTCTTTGAGTTGTTGTACTTTGGATTCCCAATTGTTGAACTGCTCATATATGTCGCCTATGCTTTCTCTAGATCATTTACTGAGGTTTTTGGCCAGAGTTTGCAGCTTCGTCTTTAATCTCCACATATCATTTCCTTCTACCTGAGTATTCCACGACTCTTGAACTAATTCCATGAAACCAGGCTGCAATACCCAAAAATTGAGGAACCTAAAATACTTGACAATCTCTTGTTGGTCATTCCGACATTTCATGAGTAAAGGTCGATGGTTTGACCCTGTTCTTACCAAATGTCTAACATAATTCTGTTGAAACTTTTGAGCCCATTGGTCGTTAATGAAGATTCTGTCCAACCTCTTCCAAATTCTCTTCCTTGGACGTATATTGTTGCACCAAGTGTGTTTAGGTCCCACATAGCCAATATCCACAAGACCACATGTTTCCATTCAGTAATGAAGTCAAAGCTTTTATAAGCTCTATAAGGGCTGCCTCCCAGCTTCTCCCCCGACTCCATGATTACATTAAAGTCTCCACCGTACACCAAGGCCCATTGATAATGCTGGCCATGTTTTCTAAAACTTCCCATAATGATTTTATTTCTGTGGCACTGCACTTCGCGTACACTGCCGTAACGTAACTATCATCACTATTGTTATTACCTTTGAAGCAAAGAGTAACTTGTTGGTCTTCATTGGCAATAAGATCTTCTTGGTAATTCCAGAAGCACCAGATTTGCCCACAAGTATTGGCCAAGCAATGTTGAAAGCCTAGAAATCTTTTGTAACCCTCAATTTTGTTGCTATTTAAGAAAGGCTCAAAAATAGCCACAAAATCGCAGTTGTTAATGTTGATTAAATTCTTCAAATGATGTATGGCCTTTTTTGACCTAACACCTCTAATATTCCAGAATATGGCACTAATCATTGGAAACTTGAGTGTGAGTGCCCTGTTTTTGTTCCTTCTCTCTTTGGATTGGAATGTCTTTTGTTTAGGATTTTTTCCCTGTCCTTCTTTGTTTGTTTTTCCCTTTCCCATCTTCTGGACATAGATTTTCCTCTACTCTGGCTATCTCTTGTGACTCCTCATGGCTGCCTCTTTTCTTGTCTTCATTGATGTTTGAAGAAGTCGAGTTAGTTTGTTGTTGCTCAATTCCACACACCTGGTTGTTCTGATCTCTATGAGTTACATCTTTGTCTTGGTCATCTTCGAATAGTTCTAGCACCAATTTGATAGGAGGTTGATTTCTTATCTCTGTATCTATGCTACTGGAAGGATATTGATGTCTGTTGTGTTCCTTTTTCTCTGTTTTTTGACTATCTTGGACATATTCATATCTTCTCTCATTCATTTCATCTTGTTCACTCTCATATTCCTTGTTTTTTGAACTCGTGGTTCTCCTTTCTGCAACTGTATGCCTTCCTTTGTCTATATCTGTGCTGCTGCTTTCTACTATCTCTTGAGATTGGTCAGCTATGTGTTCCTTGGTAGCTGAATGGTTTGCCGAGTGTTCTTCCTTGGAGTTGTATGGTTGAGCATTTATATCCTCCTTGGCCTGTAGTTGTGAAGCTGCCTCACTCCCCAGAATTTCACTTGCTAGATTTTCTGTGTATGTGCTGCTTAATTCACTTGTTGATTTCCTTGTTGCTTTGTACCGGCCGTGTGCTATTGCTGGTTTAAATAGCACTATGCTCTTTTTCCGTGGCATTATTTTTTTTTTTTGTTCTTATTCCTTTTATGATTGGTTCTGTCTTTGATATTTTGCTCTTGTTCCTGAATATGTTCCTGCTTCATCTCTTTGTTTCCATTGGATTGCTCCCCTTCCCTTATCTCTAAGACTTCCTTCTTTTTCTTTTGCCGGTTCCTTTGTATTAGGTACTTGCCATGTCTCTTCCTCCATCTTTTGCTTTTCCTTTTTTTGTTGCTATTTGTGGCCACTTTTCCGCTTGTTTGTCCCTTATGTTGCATAGTTTGCACCTCCTGTTTTTACTGTGTTGCTTGTGTTGTTTTAGTCTGCTCCTTTATTGTTGTGTTTTGGTTATTGTGTACCTCCCCTATGACACTGTTGTGATTGTCTCCTCTGTTTGTGGATTCTTCAACTTCTTGATTTTTGCTCTGTTTTTCCTTGTTTTTTTAACGCTCTAGTGCCCTGCATTGCAAAAGAGAGTGCCCTAGAATCCTGCAATGTTTACAATATTTTGGTACTCCTTCATATTCCAACTTTTGAGTGAAGCCCTTTAGCGGATTAGTTTCTTCCTCTTGGCCCACCCATACAGAGTTAACTAGATGCTTTGTAAGATCAATTTCGACTCTAACTTTAGCCATCCCCGGTCTTGTCCTGTAATCAGTTGCTAAGTCCATTGATAATGGTACCCCCACTGGTGCCAATATCTTTTTAACATAGTACCAAGTGTGACAATGGAAAGGAAGGCCCGACAGTAGCACCCAAACTGGCACAATAGGGGAGTCCTCTTCTGGCTTGAAATCAGGGGACCATTTTTGAAGCCACATAACCATTCCATCTATTTCAATTGACCTTCTGAACCAAACAGTTTTACAATCTTCTTCATTAGTTACATCTATGAACACTGTTCGGAAATCATACACCCCAATTTTTGCCTCACCTTTGAGTGACACTTTTTCGGCGAAGGTTAATCTGATTCTTTCAATATTAGGTCTTGTTCTCAGAAACTTACCTATGATTGTATACATACACTCTTCTGCCATCACTCCATAGTAGTCGCTAGCTTTAAATATGACTGTCGGAATTCCGTTATGGGTTGACACCCTAGCTTTTACATTTGGGTCACCCAATCTAACCCCTTTGAGTTTAGCAGGGTTTGCAACAACAGCTGCATAATCGATCTTCTGTGTTTTTGACTCTTCATTGGTGATTGGCCTGGCTGGAGGAGCTAAGTTTTCCAGTAGACGCACCTGCTCGAGCTCGGCTGGCGTCCCCATCCGGCGGTGCGTGTGCACCACTCTCCCAAAATGGGGGAAATGTTACCGTTACGGAGAGAACGAGGTAGAGAGAGAATTTTTTGAGAGCTATGACTGATGCTTATCTGGATTTCATGAATCTATCTTCGTTTTTGGGATTTGATTGATGATTTCAAAGTGAAATTGAGGGAGTTAGGGTTTGAGTTTTGGAGAGTTTAAGTGAGGATTTGAGGGACCAAACAGAGTCCGATTTTGATAAATTTTATATGGTTAGGCTCGGGAGAGGACGAGGGTTTTAATTATGTCATTGTTGACTGATTTCGAGATATGGGCCCGGGGGCCGGGTTTTGGCCAATTTCGAATTTTTGGTATATTTTGAAGTTTCCATTGTGGAATTCGATTCTCTAGCACATGTTGATGGTATTAATCTGATTATGGTTAGATTCGGAGCTTTTGGAGACCGAATCCAAAGACGAGGGTATCCCAGAGTAGGATTTTACGGTATTGAGGTAAGTAACAGTTTTAACTCTGGCTTTGAGGGTATAAACACGGAGAAATTGATATCATGTGATTGTTTGGTGGTGATACCCATGCTAGGTGATGGGCGTGTGGGTGTGCACCGCGAGGGATTGAGACTTGGTCCGTCCCGTGAGGCTGTGAGGCCTAATGGCTATTATCTGTGGTTATGTGTTTACTTGTTGTTGAACTTGTTTGCCTTCATGTTAGAGATCATGTTTAGGCTTTATTCATGCTCACATTATTTGTACTCAGTCATAGAAATTATTTTACATGTTTACCTCAGTCTCTGTTATTTGCTAATATGTTGTGATACTTGATGTGGGCTGTATTCCCTTATTTGTTGATGACGGTGAGGCTAGTGAGGTACATGACTGAGTGAGGCAGAGGGCCTGGTTGTGAGGATATTAATACCATAGCGCGTGAGTTGTCCGTGTAGCACGTGAGTTGACCTTGCGGGTCTAGGTATTGATACCATAGCGCATGAGTTGTCCGCGTAGTACGTGAGTTGACCGTGCGGATCCAGGTATTGATATGGTAGCACGTGAGTTGTCCGTGCTTAGCGCTTGGGCTTTCGGAGCCCCTCCGGAGTCTGTACACACCCCCAGTGAGCGCAGAGTGTTGAGTGTATTGAGTGTTGAGTGTTGAGTGCTGAGTTCGAGTGCTGAGTGATGGAGTGACATTGTTGTGAGGTTGCATTTACTTTTGTTGTTGCTGCACTTATCTGTTAAATTTCTTTGTGGCATTTACTGAGTTATGGAATTTTCCTGTTTATTCCTGTTATTTTTAAAATTGTGAAAAATAAATAATTGGACAGTTTTGCTTAGCTCGTCAATACTGCTCAGTTCCTTAGTTATTTCTGTTACTACTGAGTCGGTTGTACTCATACTACACCCTGCACTTTATGTGTAGATCCAAGTGAGTTCAGGTCGGCTATCTTTGGAGATTGTAAGGTAGCTGCTAACATCCGCAGGACCTTGTTACTCCTTTTATCATTTCTTTCTTTTGGACAGTTAGACAGTTTATATATCTTAGTTCATAGTTTTAGATGCTCATGACTTAGTGACACCACAATGCTTGGGGCTAGCATCCATATTTTTATATTAATTATATTTAGAGTTGATTTAGTTTATGAGAAACTTAAATTATTGGAAATATTTTATTAAATTTTTATAATCAAATTAGTAGTAATATTTTGGGAATAGGCTTGCCTTGTAACACGATAGGCGTCATCACGACCATGGTTAGATTTTGGGTAGTGACAAGTTGGTATCAGAGCCGAGGTTACATAGGTCTCACGATTCATGAGCGGGTTTAGTAGAGTCTTGCGGATCGGTACGGAGACGTCTGTACTTATCTTCGAGAGGCTGTAGAACCTTTAGGAAAACTTCACCTTCTTGAATTCTTAGCGTGCGGTATTGATTCAGCCTGAAGTGTAACTCTTTGATTTCCTTCCACGCATTCGTATGCACACATGAGCGCTAGGTATCAGTTGTACATCCACGGCTTGTGATTCCCTGGATAAGGTGCGAGATGTGATTTCTTTGTGTTGATGTTGGGCCGGTCTGGAGGACTTGAGGCCGGATTTTGACTGTAGATTGAGCACTGAGGTGATGATTGTGTGAGCACGTGCTTATATGTCCGTTGGTGTCCCTATTAGTGGGATTTGCGATTTGATGGCTATGTGGCGAGTATGATTTGACTGCGAGATTGTGTTCGGATTGATCGAATGTGACGAGAAGGGTTTACTTGATATGTAGCAAGGACTAATGGGTGTTTGATCTGTGACTTGATACAGCTTGTTCAAGCTCTGTCAGATAAGAGGTTTATTACCAGCATTTGGTTGTTTTGGGCAGCTGCTATGATTAGAAATCATCGTTGTGAGTGTTTGAATAATGTGGTATATCATGTGATTTCAGGTATGTATTAGACTCCTTCGAGGACGAACGTTTGTTTAAGAGGAGGAGGATGTAACGACCCGGTCGTTTGTTCTGAGAGTTATAGCCACATTTCCCCCATCTATGCTTATTTATGTGTTGTTCAGCTGTGTTGAGTTGTATCGAGTTGGTAGGTCTGGGTTCGGAGTAGTTTTGGAGTGAAATGAACACTTAGTCTCTTAGTTAGAAAGCTAAGTTAGAAAAGTCAATCGGAAGTTGACTTATGAGTAAAAGAATTTGGATTTGGATTTTTAAGATTCGATTAGCTTCGTTGGGTGAGTTCAGAATTAGGAGTGTTTCCGGAATATAATTTGGAGGTCCGTGGTAGAATTAGGCTTGAATTGGCGAAAGTTGGAAGTTTAGAAGTTCTTAGGCTTGAATCTGAGGTTGATTTGGTGTTTTAGTGTTGTTTTGGGTGTTCCGGAAGTTCAACTAAGTTCGGATAGTGATATATGACTTGTTGGAATTATTGGTTGAGGTCCCGAGGGCCTCGGGTGAGTTTCGGATAGGTTTGGGTTGTGTTGCGCTCGTTTTTCTTATGTTTCAACGTCGTTTCTTCAAGCATAAATGATATCATATTGAACAAATGAGCTCCGATTCCTTTTTTGATTGAAGCATTAGTAATTAGGGTCATTTTACTAAGAATTAGGTTGCCAGATTTTTCAGATTAATTATAAAATTGCCACTGACGGCGTATTTAAAAATCTGCACTATTTGCAAATATTGAAACCAACATATCTCCTTCATTATAAGGTCGAGTGATTCAAAAGCCTAACTTGACTAGAATTTCACAAGGAATCTATTGGAGGCATAAAAAACGAGTATCAGGATCGTTTGGCACGAGAAACGAGGCAGAATAGCTGACAGAAAAATATATAAAAGTAGGGTTTGTTCATTCGGTCATATTTTGAGTTGGGGAGCTCGGATTTAGGCGCTTTTGGAGGCGATTTAAACCATATGGATTGGGGTAAGTGTTCTCTACTCGGTTTTGGTTATATTTTGTGAATCTATCTTCATTTTTGGGATTTGATTGATGATTTCAAAGTGAAATTGAGGGAGTTAGGGTTTGAGTTTTGGAGAGTTTAAATGAGGATTTGAGGGACCAAACAGAGTCTGATTTTGATAAATTTTATATGGTTAGACTCGGGAGAGGACGAGGTTTTTGATTCTGCCATTGTTGATATCACGCCCCGAACTTGGGCCTTGACGTAACATGGCACTCGGTGCCTGACTACGTGTGACCGAGCGAACCAACTGGCTGGCTGAATCAACATGTGATATCATAACATACTGAATGCGGAAGATAAACTAACACATGCTGATATACTAAAAGTCTGGATGATATAAATCAGAGTGCGGAAATACTAATACAATTCTGAAACATATTTGCAGCCAACATAGCTTAACATGAAAAGCCTGAGACTCTGTCTAACTCTTACTCTAGTCTATGAAGCCTCTAATGAAGTACTAAAAGCACTGACTGTCTGAAAATACTAAAGACAGTAAGGTAATGATAATGCCCCGAAAGAACTGGGGATCACCAAGTAGCTGGTACGAGAATCCTAGCGCTCTGAATCATCAATCTGTAAATCATTACCTGCATCGTGAGATGCAGGCCCCGGGCAAAAGGGACGTCAGTACATTTGAATTGCACTGGTATGTAAAGCAACTGAAAGAAAGAATTATAAATGCTAAAACTGAAACTAAGTTGATAACTGAGAATTGATAATTAATAGCTAAAATGATAACTGGTAACTGATAACTGATAACTGAACTGATAACTAGTGACCGAAATGATAACTGATAACGAAAATGATAACTAATAATTGAACTGAACAAAGGAAGTAAGGATATGAAAACTCCCTCTTCTAAATGATGAACAACCTGTTTATCTGAATAAATAAACTGCGGCCTCAGGCCCTATATATATATATAAGTGTGTGTGTGTGTGTGTGTGTGTGTGTGTGCGCGCACAAATGCGTTCTCGGGCCCAAGTATACGTATACATACTGCGGCCTCACGGACCAAAGACGCATAAAGCAATAAACTGCGGCCTTAGGCCCAAAGATGCATAAAGCATAAACTGCAGCCTCAGGCCCAAATACAGGTGTTCAACATTTAAGGATTTAAAATCAGGAACTGAGAATCATACTACAATACATGATAGTGAAATACTGAATCACATTGAGTTACATGATACTAGAATACTGGATCACACTGAGTTACATAATACTGGAATACTGAATAGGACTAGACTGAGACATCAAAGGGATTCCATATTAGCTATGATGCTCATGTTTTGGTCACTTAAGTATCTTATCAAACACTTGGTGAGAATAAAGCTTCATAGTCCTTATTAATGGTGTCTCTACACCCAATAACCCATTCTCTTGTTCCTAGATAGATTCTAAAGTCTCAAATGGTTATAATCAAATCACCCATAAAGTAAACAACACCCTTAACCAATAATCAATAATCAACACCCCAAACCTATAATCGTTCATGCTTTTCTATCAAACCCATCAACTCATATCTCATGAACTAGGGTTTAAAATTATTTAACCAATG